ACTAAGCTTAGATATGTATGTCGTAAACTATGCATATTGCATGTTAAAAAAGTTATTCACTTAAGTCAATTTTAGCCGAAGACAAATTGAAATATTATCTATTGTCAAATTGTTTATTCTGTTTGAGGTCGTCAATAGTATATTGTATTAATTTTTAATGTATTTTATTTAAATCTGGCTTTAAGCTCATCAAATGTTTATATAATATTATTATAAAACTCTCTTCATAAGCATATTTTGGTATTCATGCAGTTTTATTCGAATAATAATATAAGCTCATAACTTTTATATCAATGTTATCTGCTGGAATAAAATGCACAGGTCAACAAAAATGAAAAAAATGTTGGTGCGGCAAATGTTAAAGCTGTAAGTTTAAGATTTTGAGAAAATCGAGGTCAAAGTGTAAAAAAAATGGGTTTTTGGCAATATTTCCATCAAGTCAGGGTGCAGGCATGGTATTTTCAGGGACAGTAGTCTAGGTTTCTAGCTTTAAGTTAAGCCTAAGTGGAAGGTTCTATCACCTTTTTACTCTTTTCTAGAGCTTCTCAAATATTGCGAAAAACCCGATCTTTTAACACTTTGACCTCGATTTTATCAAAATCTGTACGTGATGGAATCTTTATACTTACGGATCCGTAATCAGCTCAAAAAAGTCTATCAAAAACAGCTATAACATTTGTCGCACCAAAATCAGATTTGCCCTGTGATATATGTAGTATCTATATGTAACTCGTTTATAATTTCACACGAAATATGCGCGATATTTTTCAAATTTGTAAAACTTAATAACCAATTTGACCCCTTTCATCATCATCTATTTACATAAAAAAATCATCGTGTATTCCAAGTTTTTTTCTTCCGCCACAGTTACTATCACAATACCAGAATATTTTATACATAAATATGTATGTAAGGCATAGAATATCGTGTTCACAATAAATAAATCAAACATCGATGTGACACGCAATGGCACATAGTAGCAGCCATGCAAACGATATGCAAATCGCATAAATCTATGCAATCAGAGCATATTCGTTAGAAGCATAGCTTTTATGCACGCATACAATGGTAAATTTTTGTTTAGTTATTAGATCAATTCATCAAAGTAATAAAAATTTGGGGAACATAACGTCTTATGCTATGGTTACAAGATGTGCTCAAATGGGGTAAATGGTAATATTAAGGCAGGAAAAGGAAGAAAAATATGTAAATATATTTACCTATGCAAAAACTCCTAAGCAACCGTTTATGTACTTGTATATATTTATACGCATGTAGGTAAATAAGGGCATATTTATGCTAATGTTAATGAGGAAAATATGATTTATTGTTTATAGAAAAAAACAATCTTGGCAATGGTTCTTTTCGAACTAATTCTAACTTCCATCACTACTATACTGTTAAACAACATCTTTTTAACGTAATAAAACTTAACTACTTTCAAAATAATCATTGGCACGGTGGTGTTTTCCTATAAACAATAAACAAATAAAATAGGTGAATACTTTCCTCATTCACAGAATATTAAACTTTAATTCGCATAAAAAACTGAAGTCCAATGGGTTGCAGTGATAATTTTTTTCGATATTGATAGTACTGGCCAACAAAATTTTGCGGCAGAAGTTGTGAGACCTCCTGATATCTGTAGGATTTTTAACGTAGATTAAGAAACGGTTCAAATTATTCAATAGTTTGCGAGATATTTGGGATGGAATGTATCAAACAACGTATTTTTCACATTTTTTGCTATTATGTAGTAGTTTCTGAACAGCATGAAGAACGCTCTCTGGAAGAGCAACAGAAAAGAGTACCCAACATTTTTGGATTATTAACTCAACTTCAACTTTAGTTCAGAACTAGAACGATGAATCCGTCTTTATTCACAAATTTTCTAAACATTTTGTAGTGAAATTGAGATCCTAAAAGCCCATTTCCCGCCAAAGGCTTAACTGCAGTTAAGACCTTAGGTTAGTTCTAAGAATTTTTTTAACATAGGGTGGTCGGAAAGTTTTATTTCCTACTTTTTTCTCTTAGACTTGCGTTTGCTTTTACTTAATATGAGCTATTATCCCATGCAATCTCCTTTTTCCAATAATCATGAACTGCAGTTAAGGCTTGGTGGAGATGAATTATAAGAGACCACTATTTATTACAAAATTTAAACTATGTAGTTAAAAAAAAAAGGGATTTTTGAAGACAAGTTTAAAGCAGCCGAATCGCTGAAGCCTATATCTAATGACGATGTTCTATACGTTCGGCATTGTTTTTTTTTTTTAGCTGAAAATTTTCATTAGCATTAAATTTTAAAAGTTGAGCAAACAAATTTTTTTCTTCAAACTATTCAACACTATTACACGACGCAACCGTTGAAGCAACGTGTTGAGGCGACCTGTTGTTCTTGCCCAATACACAGGGGCAACCGTAGAGGTAACCATTGCGGCAATCTCAGTAGGTAGCGTGCGCTATGTTTTGAAATGAAAGTACAGAAGACAATTTTGTTGGCACCTTTTCAACGAACAAAAACAAAAAAAGCAACACACAAAGATACAAATGAGGTAATCGACATGGTAACCAACACAAAATAATTTTATTTGCAGACGATGGTTGCGGCAACACGATTTTCAATGAGCAATACTTCCTGGTTGCTTCAACGGTTGCCTTGTGTGTAGTCAGCATTACAATCATTCAAACATATTTGATTTCAAATTGAGTCAAGTTAACGTTAACGTTAGCACAATTCGCATAAAGCTGCAAATTGGTAGGAGCGTTGAAAATACCATTATAAACAGGAAATTCCATCTCTGGCACTACACCATCACTTCTTCTGTACAATTTTCCGCTGAATCGGAAACGGTTTTTAGATATGGGCAAATCCTAGCGTTGCGAACGCTACGTTTGGATGTTTCTTTTAAATTTTTTGCCGACAAAAATATAAGTTAAAAATTTTTTTGTGGTATAAGGCAAGGTTTATAGCAGTATTTATGAGAACAAAATAATGGAAATTTGAATTTGAGTTAATGTCGGTGTATTTGCCTTCGAAATTTATGTGCGAACGTTACTGAAAAAGGAAGCGAAAGTCAACCGATTTGCGGGATTTGTCATGCATGTAGAGCACAATCTACAAAAAGACTTTGAAGAGAAAATAATGAATTTTACAAAATGTGATATAAAAGCAAACTAACGGTTCGATTAACTTTAAAACAATTGCCTAGGTGTGTTCGGGACGTTACGTTACGGACATTACTGTTTTTTTCCGCTGAAAAATTGTTTTTTTTTTTTTTAAAGCGATATTGTTGTATTTGATTAAAAGATATAGTGCTTAAAAGCAATGCTATTTAGAGCTTTGTTTCAAGAAGTAAGAGGGGCAAATCAGATTTCTCAAATAAATGTGAAAAGAAAAATTAAATAAGAAATGTTGGACTATGCCTTTTTTGACACAAAAATGTGAGAATTCGAAGTGCATGCATTTTTTGCGATTTTGGTTGACTATTTCTCGGATTCGCCCCTATGTGGAAAAGTGCACTCACTTAATTGTATATTTTTTTATGTAGCTGGCGAATCTTAAATTTCTTTCCATAGTAGCGAAGCTTATGAAATTTACTATTACTATTTCTACGTTAACGATATTTTCCAACCGGATAAGTATTTTAGGAGCTAATCACTGATTCATCGATCATTTTGCATAAGGGTAAGGCACCGAATTTACCAACATTAATATTTTTCAATGATATTCAGGCAGCGCCGAGTTTTGTATTCGAGCAGTACACTGTGTAATTTTTGTTGATTAATCAACAAGTGAAAATTTTTCCAGTGTTTTGGAAATTTTTATTTTTCTTTGAAAGTAAGTGTCCGAATGAAAAAATTTTTTGGGTGCAAATTTAAGAAACATTAACCTATACAATGAAATTATTTGCGCAACAAAAATTTTTTTTTTTTGCTTTTCAATAAATTTTTTATGAAAAATTAAATTTTTAAGCAATTTCTGCACCTCGTGGACGACAATTTTTAACAACTACTTATGTAATAAATAGTTTGGTCGGAATGAACTTTTATTTGCCAGCGTGCGGGCCCGACTCGCGTGGTTGGATCGCGCGCAATCGTTCCACTTTCATTTCTCATGCTCGAATTTCGCATGCCCGCGGTAGTTTCAAAGAAAAATAAAAATTTCCAAAACATTGGAAAAATGTTCAATTGTTGATAAAAAAAAAACTATTGATTCGGTGCCCACTTGAGCAAGCCTTACCCTTATATAAAAAAAATATATTTAAAAAAAGTTACTTTCGATAAAAAATATCAATTATGAAGGAACCGGTTAACTTTTGGATTCTTGTACGTCAAAACATGATCTTTGACGAATATAATAATTTAATAACAAATGTATAAGTTATGAGCACTTAAGTAGAGACACATACAAAAAGGTTATATAGAAACTTATGACTTGCATATTATGGAGTACACACCTTTACAATTTAGAATAGCTAAGGTCCGTTTTCACAGTGACGAGTTAACTGACAATCGACAGTTAACAGATTTTCAGCACAAAAAGTGAAAGTTAACTACCGGATGTGATTTAACTCTTCACTGTGAAAACGGCGCTATATCTTAGAAATGTTAATCCTTAGCAAGTCAAATGATATAACAAATTTACATACAATTGTATGATTTACACATTCGTCTGACCTATTTTTATGATAAACCGTACCGTATGTGACCTTTGACTTTGAATAAATTTTTTCGCAGACGTGGGATCGATGGGGACTTTTGACGTTTCGCAAAATTCGTTCGCAAATGGTGTTCGCAAAAATCGTACCAATTTTCAGCTTTATGCGAATCATTGCAAGCTTATTCCTATTTATTGAGCTAGCTTGATAGGGCTAATATGTATCTTAAAAAAAAAAATACTTTTACTGTTAAAAAATTTCAAATCGTCTGAAAAAACGCTACTTTTTTATTAGTGCACATACCCACAGACATATGTATGTATGTATTTTGCTTTCTAGATGCAGGCTTATCGCGATAACTTCAAGCAAACACCTTGCCCAACAACATTTGAGCAGACCTCAACAGGTCGATTGCCTTTTTCTAAGTCGTCGAATCGCAATCGGAACGCTACAGATAAATTAACTGGTTGTACGAGTGGAACTAACCCAGCTGTTGCATCTTCCGAGACTGCTGCATTACCAACGCCTAGAATGTTAAGCCCAACTGCAACTGGAGAGCCTATGTCAACGGCTGCTTTACTACGACAAAATCATGAGCTGCGTCAACGTCTGTCAGAAGAGGCAAGCAGCTATAGGCGTCGTATAGACACCTATAAGCAGGCGCAACAAAATCAAGCTAATCTAGTTGGTCGCTTGCAATCCAAAATACAACAATATCGGCAGCGTTGTAGCGATTTGGAAGATCGCATGCATGAATCGATTAAACATACACCCCTGCCTCCGCCATGCGCCCCAAAGATAACCACCGGTCCAACATCTAGTCAAGTTATGGTAAATATACTTACTTACATATGTATGTACATAAATACTACGTATGTATGTATGATCAAAATGCGCGAGTATATCAGTGAAGATAAACTTTTCAAATTACATACCTGGTACAGTTCGTAGTTGTGGTCGAAAAACGTCGAAGCTTTGTTTAAACTTTTCTGAAATTCTCAGCTTATTCATACGAAACAATGCCATACAAAAAATACTCGGTCGATAAATTTTTGTCTCAGATTTATTTAAAAAAAATTTCCCACAATTTTTATCACAGCCCTATAAAGGTTCGAACTCATTTTAGTCAGAAAAGTTTCATTTTGAGCTCAAAAAGGAGTCAGAAAAGAGCATATTTCCCTTCTTAGAAAGGCACGCCAATATGGGTTTAAGTTAGGAGTCATATTAGAGACTGAAATACATATGGCGACGGTCTGGTTGCCTGGTCTCGGAATCATATTTATGACGAAAGAAAGAATCAGAAAATTGTTTAACAGGAAGCTCTACCCAGAATTGCAGCGGACGACTGTAAAGCGGTCGACGGTTAACCGTGTCAAAATTTTAACTCACAACGACATATGTATGTATGTACTGGCACATAATTCCCCGAAAACATATTCTGAGCATTCAGAATATATGAGTCCGAAAGGAGTCCTAGGTAGGTAAGAAATATGTACTTCAAAAACAAAACAAAAATTACTCTTATATGAATCTTTTAGGATTTACATATATATGATCCAAGTAATGAGCCAGCACCTTGTGCCAATATAAGAACAATAAAGATTTGATATTTATATCTTTTTTATACAGAAATTGAAAACAATTAGAAAACAAAAAATGAACAAAATTTAACTGAATGCATTTGCAATATAGTGCGTTCAATAAGACTCAAAGAACAACCTAAAATAAGAGTCCGCATTTAGTAATTTATGAGGCCGATAAGAGCCTCAAAAAGAGTCTGAAATGATTCATAGGTATATGAGGCCAAACATTGTTTTAAAAGAGTCCAAGATGAGCTGTATATGAGGCCAATAAGAGTCCAATATGACTCATATTGAGGCTCATTTGTTGTATGAATTTTTAAGCTCAAATAAGTCGACCTTCGGAGAAAGGGAAACAACCTCATATCGGACTCTTAAATGAGCTCATTATGAGCGTAATGGCTCAGAAATAGGACTCCTTAAAGACTCATTTATGACTCGAAGTGTTTGCTGGGTTGCGGCAGCGGCGTCCAGCGGGGCGGCATATTGTTGATTGAGTGTGGATTGTATTATTTATTATATTCACAAGTGTGCAAATGCTTGCATCCATTTTTATTTCTATCAAATCTGCATATGTATGCGCCCGTACAGAATATACATATGTATATGTATTGCACTTCAATAATAATTTCTATATCAAAATGACAGCTGACGGAAGCCGTCGTCCGCCGACCGATTTATCGTCTTCCACTGAAATTCACTCTTTCGACATTCCTTTTTTTATTCTTTCAAAAATAGAAATAGGTTAGGTGAGGTTGCAATGGCAGCTGGCGGACACTTCGGCCCATAATTGGACTCGTTGTGGTTTTACAAGGGGTCCCGCTGCTGCGGAGGAGCAGAATACTTGTATATTGAGCCTGCAGGTAGCGAGCGGCATGCCCAACCTCTTCCAAGACGGTGGCAAATAACTTAGCCAAAATTGTTTACTCCGAGTAGTCATATGGAAATTGTTTATTATGAATAAGTGGAGTATTTCAGGGTGTTGGAAAATTTTTAAAGACGAGTTTTTTTAAATTTAGTATTCGCCCAGACTAGTTTCTTGATATTATTACACTGTCTAATCGTTTAACTTAAAACTCTTGCTATCGAATTATCATTTTAGTGTTCAACTTCAATGGCTTTAGGTCAATCAAGCCTGCCATGCTCATCTTCGTTGGACTCACCACCTATAACCTGTGCACGCGATTTCATTGTACATGAGGATAGTGGTGAACTTTGCCGTAAACTTGAGGATGAGCATAGCAAATGTGAACAACTCATTGCGCAGAATAATACATTGCGACAACAATTGGAAGAATCTAATCGCACGAACGAGGCCATCACTAATGACCTACAGAAGTTGACTAATGATTTTTCCAATCTACGAGACGAATTGCTTATTAAGGAGGACGAATATAAGGAAGAGGAGCAGGTACATTGCAAGATATGAAATAAATACATACATTTAATTATGTATAGGATATTGTCAGGTATTTATTATGCAATACTTATAAATATAGTAGTTATGTAAATACTTTATATCAGCTTTAATATTCTAAGACTGGGCTTAGGGAGGCGGGGGGATTAATATTTTTTAGTAAAAAGAAATACTATATTTATTGATGGAATAACCCTGATATTATTTCATAATTTCAAGTATTTTTGCATCTCTTATAAAATTTTCGATTTGGGTCTTTTGTAGTTATAACAATAATATATATGCATGTACATTAGACTGCATCACCAAAAAAAGTTGCGGCTTTTTCGCCGGGATTACAAAATCTATTATATTTTAGGACGTCCACCACATATTTCGGAAAAATATTAAGATTTAAGTGAGCTGGACCGATTTGAAAATGCCTCCAAAAATGGAGTTTTTTATGAATAAAAATTGTTTCTTAAAGAACTTTTTGCAAAAAGTCCCCTCAGATAACAAAACAGATTAAGCTTAAAAAATCTGCATAAAAATATCTAAAAATCTTTTCAACGGAATCGTAAGAATGAGATTTTTGATGCTGTCTTTTTACATTTTTCAAAGATTGATTTACTAAATACTTGAATAACTGGGCCGAAAGTATTCGGATTTTGACTTAAGGGATTTCAGTAGAAAGGCATTTTCACATTGTTTTTTTTTCTGTCCAAAAAAGGTCATTCGGGTCCCATTTTTTTTTGTTTTTTTTCAAATGCCAACACATCTTAATTCAACTTTGAATGACGTTCGTTCATCGTACCTTTCTCTTTCATCCCTTGAATGAGTTTATTAGCAAAGAAATAAAAAGGGTGAGAAAATACCTTTCCAATGACACCTAAGTCTAAATCGGAAGAGTTTGGGTACAGTTATCCAAGATTTTTTATAATAATCTTTGAAAACAGCATGATTATTTTTTTTTAATATTTTTATGCAAATTTGTTAAGCTTAAACGGTTTTGTAATTTGATTTAATTCATAAAAAACTGCTTTTTAGAGGTATTTTCAAATCGGTCCAGCTCACGCAAATCTTAATATTTTTCCGAAATATTTTGGTGGACGTCTTAAAATATAATAGATTTTATAATTCTAAAATGGAAAAATAGTACCGATTTTTTTTTTTTTGTGTGGGGAGTGATGCAGTCTAATGTACATATATTAACTACATATATTTAAAATCCTGCATTGTGCTCTACAGGCCTTTAAAGATTACTACAATGGCGAGCATAACCGTCTGCTTAAAATGTGGCGTGAAGTTGTTGCTGTTAAACGAGCTTTCAAAGACATGCAATCGGCCATGAAAAATGAAGTTGGAAAAATGGGACTAGAGATAAGCGGTATTACCAAGGATGTAACAAACTCATGTGGCGGCCTGTCATTCGTTCTACAGCAAGCAAAACGAATAACGGATGAGGAGCTTGTCGAATCCAGGCGTGAGAACAACGACATAAAATCTCAATTGGCTACACTGAAGGTGCAATATGAAAGCGCGCGTCAAGAAGTGCTCGAAAGGGATCAACGACTACTCGACCTGATGAATCAGTTGAAGAAACTTGAAGAACGCTGTGCACAAGCCGAGTCACAAGCAATGTTGGCCAATCGTTATAATGATGAAATCGAGAGACTGAACAATTCTATACGTGAAATTGCACAAGCTGTCGTACAAGATGCTGAAAGTGCCGACCGTGAAGCGGACGTCGCAGAAGCAAACGAAACAATGCAGCACATGCACTTAACGCGTGATAGTGGTGCTGGCATGGGCGTGCCCACGAAATCGCCGCGTCGTAGCTCAGCTCGTGCATCACAAGCTTTCGCAGAAGGCACCATATCAGCAGTACAGGCCGCTCTACATAAATACCAATTGGCTTTGCATGATATGCAGGTTAAATTTCAAAATACCAACGAAAATTTGCGAAATACTAAAACACAACTCGAAACAAGCGAAGGCACAAAGACGCTATTGACGACCAAAGTACATCAGCTCACCGAAAAATTGGATGCTAGCAATTCGAAGCTGTCTGAACTATTGAAAGAAAGAGATAGTCTTCAGAAGACACTAGAAGAGATACGTCAACAGAAACAGCAAAGCGAGCAGGGGCGTCTCGATTTAAATTCTGCGGTACGTTAGTATAGCCTACTGGTTTTTAATTTACACAATTTTTGCCACTAGATGATAAATATCGGTTAGGCATCCAAAGAAATCATGAAATATACACATATGCATACATAAATAATAATTTATTAAATATAATAAATAAATTTAGATATACATACCTTTGGGGGAGGATGAGGATGATAAAAACTCAAAAATTTAAAATTTTGCAAACCAAAAAACAAAAAAAATCGAAAAAACACAAGATGGCGGCCATCATGCATTTATTTGAAATAAAAATAATATTCATTTCCTTGAGCTACTCTTACATATCTATCGAACTATTTTAACTTTTTTAACCAAATTTTGCCATAACCGTTTTTTGTTGTTGTTGGGTTTTCGTTATTCCTCATAGGTGTATTTAATTATACAAAAAAAATCATACGTGTACTGGCAATCAAAAGTAAGAGCATGATGTTTTTTGTACAATATTTGCAATGCTTTGTAAGCTACAATTTTTTTATTATTATTTTTTTTTATTAAATATGGTTCATGCTTTAATCTAAACCACTTAAGACAAACTTTCTGTATAAGGTTTACAGAACGTAGAAAAGTTCGAAAACTTTTCATCTAAATTTTGAACTTTTTAATCTGAATTTTTACAAAAATTTCGGGTACGCAGATAGATCAGTTATGTAATTCTCGTGAAACAAGTGAAGCGACTAAAAAATCGCGTTGATTTTTTGTAATTTTTTTCCGATGGATTTTGCGGTTTTGTGCATATAACAAGTGAAATTTACAAAATATAGGCTTATTTTTTAAAATTTTGTTTGAAAACGCTCTTGTGCTTTTTGTTCCATGGAAAAAAGTGCAAAAAGCCGTCAGCAATTTGTTTTTTTTAGTAAATTATTTGAAATTAAAAATAATATTAATTTTCTTAGCTACTTTTATCCATTCAAGTACTGCATTCAAAATTTCAAGGAATTCGCAATAGGTTTAAAGATTGCGCCTTCAGCTTAAAGTTCGAAAAATGCTAAACAATCCCTTTCCAAGATTTTGAAAATTTTCGAATTCGGGTGAAGACCTCCCATCTGGTCCTTTTAACATAATATTTTCTTTTTGTATGTATATAAAAATTTCAGGGACCGAAAATAATAGTTATTTTCAAAACTTCAATTCAAAAAGTCAGTCGGAAGGAATTGGTCTTTTTAACATTTGTATGTATGACTGTGATGCTTGTTAGTCAAGGAATGTTAATCCTATATGATTTATTTTTTTTTTTGTAAGTCAGCAATTAACCGTCAAATTTTAACTTTTCAGGTGTTAAGTTTTATTTTTGATCGAAAAAATAAAAGTCATATTTTAACTTTGATTTCTGACCAAAAATAAAAGTCAATTCGTAACTTTTATTTTTGACTGAAAACATATCGGTGAAAAAATAACGAATATTTTTTCACTTTTTTGAAAGAAGGCATAACCGTTATGGTCCCTGAAAAATTAAAAAAAAACAACTAGAAAAGTGATTCAGATTTTATCATACATACATACGTACATATATTGTTTTGAAAAAAAAAATACCCATATCTACTAGAGTTAAAATTTTTTCGAAGGTCAATTTTAAAGCCATAAAGATGTCAGTAATATTTAAAAAAAAAATTAATAACTTTTATAAAAAAAAAAAAATTATGGCCACATAAAAAATAAAAATTCTCAACCGTTTAAAATATGAGCAGGATCTGTGATACCAATCGCGAGATAACATTTAAAATCTAAACAATTTCGAAATATTAATAGTTATAATTTCCAAAACAATTCGAATTTCGAAAAATTGTGAAACTCGTATTTTTCTTTTATCGTTGTGAAGCATAAACAGATAATTGCACAAAAAAGCTCGACCTTCGAAAAAATGGTGGCCCACTTCACAAAATTTTACGTCAACTAAATAAGTATGTATCTCTCAACACATGATTCGGTTAAAGTTACCAAATTTTGTGTTCAGTGAAATATATGTATGTATTTAACTGACTCTTTTCTCAGTGTAGAGCATACATATATTTTCATTACATATTTAGCCAACCAAGGCTACTAAATACTAGTTACGATATAAAAATGTCGTAGATGTGAAAAAAAAAAATTATTTGAAAATAAACGGTGGAATCGGTTGCAATATCATCACAACCCTTTTTTTCAGTTTGAAAATCTTAGCGGAGATTTTGAGAAGTTACAGCTAAAATATGGAAAGTTGCAGAAGAAAATCGATCTGCTTGAAGATGACAAAAAGGCGGTTGAACTGGAAATTCAACGAATACTTAAGGACAAAAACATAATTGAAATGAATCTAAGGTGAGGCTGTGAAGATTGTATTAAGATAAGATAGTAATTGTAGCTAAAAATATTTATATAGGTCTGAAGAGGACCGAGGAAGTCGCTTGCGTGAGGAGACAATATCCTTACGCGAAGAATTGAACAGCGTAAGCCTTAGTCGCGATCTGCTTGAGCAACAACGCATCGAATCCGATAATATCATTAATTTAATTGAAAAGCAAAAATCTGATTTAGAATATGATTTGGACAAGCTGCTCTTGGAGAAATGTGACTTGCAAGAGAAGCTGGACAAAGTGTCCAACAGCAACTCATCCACCTCAGACGAATTGAAAACAATACATAGTAGCTTAGCACAAACACAAGAGGAGCGCAATAAACTCAAAATCGAAGTAGATGAATTACAAAAGGAAATAGCAACAGTGCGGAAGGAGTTGAGCAGCGTTGAAAAGGCACGCCTAGAATTGGAAACGGATAATTTGTCATATAGCGAAAAGCTCAAATGTACACAATTGGAGAAAGAAAAAATTCTACAGGACTTGGCATGTATCACTCGAGATCGTGGTGATATTCACAATCAACTTACAGCTTTGTGCCGCAAAAAGGAATCCCTTAATGAAGAACTAATGCGAACACGTCAAAAATTGGAGCAAACTGTCGAAACAAATAATCGTTTAAATAGAAATTTGGAAGAAATGGTTAAAGATGTGGAGGAGAAGCAGGTTGTAATAGATTTGCATGAAAAGGAAACACATCGTCTACAGGTAAATTCAGGTTATTATTTTTTTTTTAATAGCTACACTCAGCACACCAGATTTGGTAAATGTAAACAAATCGTATTACTATAACCAAATCACGTATTGAGAGAAACACATTTCGTTGTTTTAACTAAAATCTTTTCTCAGTGTACAATGTAAGAAGTTCATAAAGTGCAAGTCATATCTCGAAGACGGCCGTGGCTCAAGCTGAGGTAGAGTGTTACCAGATAGTCACCTTGAGATCGAGAATAATAGGTATTTTAAATTTTCCGCCAAGAATCACACTGGATTACAGATTTCGGTTCTTTTTTTGTTCCACGGATGCCACTATCCAATTCCTATGTAAAATTGCTTGCTGATTTCGTTTTTGTTTTTTATGGATAGCTCAAAATTATGTATGTATATCTTACGAACCACTTGAACAATCATAATACGAAATGAGGAAAATGAAAGATAACAAAATTCTTCATGAACCGTATATACATACATAATTTTTTGATAGTTTAATTCAAGCTTTAACAGGTGAAAAATTAAAAAAGAAATAATGAAATTTGTATGAAAGCATGTTTCTTTACAAAAAAATCGAGCTACTAATGAAGAAAATCGATAGATAAATAAAAAAGGAATTAGTGGTCAAATGAAAACGTGCAAGGATTTTTTGTATGAAATATGAACAGGAGCGAGTGTTACTCATACGCCACAGCGTACATGGCGCACTCGTACATACTCGTACATGGCGTTTGAGTAACATCTTTTCCTACTCATTTTTCATACAAAAAATCTTTGTCAGTAAATAATATAGCTAATTTATTCAAAATTGATGTTTGGCATAATTCTTTAGCAATGTCCTTACGGTATTCCAGAAAAATACATTTTTTTTTAATACAAATTTTAAAAATTAGCACTTTTAATGGAAGAATAAAAAATATATGTAAAAATAGGTTTTTTTATTACTTTATGTAATAGTAAGGTTCTTAAGCTTCCAAAATAGAAAATAAAATTTTGCATTTTTTGCACTTTTTGAAAAATGAGTTTTTTGCTAATTCATAAACGCATTATTTCATTTCTTGTCAGTGCCATCAGATAAGCACGAATCGTTCGATTTTCAAAAACGACGTGTCAGATTAAAAAGCTTGAACTGTAGATTTTTTGATTTTTGATTTTTTAAACAAGTGGCAACATTTCTACGTATCGTTTAGAAGTAAGTCATTTTCAAAACTATTTCAATTTCAATTTAAATAACTTTAATAAAATTTGAAACAGGTGGCAACCCGTTTTAAAAAACTAAATTTTTAATGCACATCGGGCCCTGTCATACGGTCAGTATTTATTGACGTGATCCAAGTATCGCGATATTTATTGACGGTATAGTATACAATATTGATGGATCGTGATCCATACCGCAAAATTTCTCAAATTTTTTAAATCTGGATTGCGGATCGCAATACCGTCAATAAATATTGAACGTTTAGCATTTTCAAAACGCGATCCATATATTTCGTCAGACATCTTGTACTCTCATAATGCGAACATCAAAAACATATGCGCTCTACCATCGCTCTCGGCGCTTAAAACCTTTCAAAACAAATTGAAAGTATTTAAATTAGCATTGGAAATTTTAAAATAATTATGGGATGTATTATCTGCAAATTATTCGTATAAAATAGAAGATTTTCTTGCGATATAATAAGCGTGCAGCACAAAAATTATGCAAATACTGTGCGCGATCCATCAATCCATCCATATGGCATTTCCTATTGGCGAACGTTGGCTGGCACAGAAGATAAACAACCGGCGTGCTTTGTTGTACTCGGCCAAAATCGCTTAGGCGGCTACAGCGCTAAATAAGAAGAAGAAGTTCTTGTTGGTTCTGTCGGAACGAAACAACTTAGCCAATTGCCTCTCTCCTTTGCGGATTTGTGCTAGTTGTTCATCCCAAGTGTAGACAGGTCGTTCTGCACATGGTTCTTCCATTGTGGTCTTTTATTTCGTTGTCCGCCCATATGTACATAGGTGCCTAGTAGAAGGTTGTTTTCACGGGATCCTCGTCGTCCATGCGCACAATGTGTTCAAGCCAGCGCAATTGTTGTATTTTTATGCGCTCAACTATGCCCATGTCAATATTAAAACTTGTACAATTCTTCATTCCATCATCTTCGGTACTTCGTCCATGTTGATGAGAAATTTGTAGAGCGTCATTTTTTTATGTCGAACATTGTCTACTGAGCCCTATTTCACTAACAGACATATTCTAAAAGTTGTGCGATTTGCAAAATAGTTTTGAATATTTGCAACGTGGTCCATTTTGTGCTCATAGGAATTGCTGACGGCATTGCGTACAGAAAAAGAGTCCCTAGAAGCAGTACTTTTCGATACAAATACTCAACTCGAAGCCACTGAGGAAAAACGTCAACAGCTCGAACGTGATCTTCAGGAGGCACTCGTGCGCGAAGAATCACTTAAAAATTCGGTTACACGCCTGAATAAAGAATTGGAACAGTGTCAACGCCGCGCTCAAGAAACGAAAAATCAACTAATGAATGCTGCACGCGCAGCTGAGAACGACTACAATCAAAAGATTGCCAGCCTCAAAGCGGTAGGCGAAGAAGCGGCTAAGAAACATTCAGAAGAGCTTTATAAACTTAAAACGGGATTGGAGAAGCGTATGGCGCAAGCACTTCAGGCACTACAAACAGCTAAGGATGATGAAATTGAGAAATTACAAGAGCGCCTAGAGGCATTACAAGCGCATTTAGAAAGTTTGGTACAGCAGCACGAAGAGGCTATGATACGGGCGGAAAATGAAAAACAGCAGGCGCTGTTAATGGGTAAGTATACATACATACATACATATGAGCCATTCTTTTTTAAGTCGGACGGATTTCGTAAAAAAATTATGTCATGTCTCTACGATGAGCGGAACCCGAGATATAACGATTTGAATAAGTATACGATTAGTCAGAATCACGAAAAAATGCAAACTTTGACAGATCATATCTCCGAAGAAAAAAAAAAAAATCCTCGAACACGTGTTAGCTTATTTCATGTATAGAACCCAAAAAAAAAAATGTGAACCCAATCGAAAATGTGACACCAAATTTGGTGTCCGATATGAAAACCAATGTCTCATATGTACATAAATATGTAAGTAGTTACTAAATGAGGCGTAAACTTTTGAAAATATTTTAATTAAAAATTAGCACATCGAGATAAGCAAGCATTGATGGAAAAGTTAGAGACTGCTACGCGGGAACTAAAGAACGAACAGGAGGGACTCGAACGTATGAAACGTGAACATAATGCACACGATGAAAAACAACGAAATGCCATTGCTCAGCTAAAGGATGAAATATCCGCCATGCGAACAAGGGAAGAGGAAAACAAGTAAGTTTGGATGATTTCCAGAAATGGATTCCGTTATGTACGTATGTATATATCGACTGCTGAGCGGAAGATCAATCTATCTCGGCAGCCAGTTCGAAAACGCCCTATCTCAAAAAACATTTCAAAAACGTCCTATTTCAGAATTTGGTTGAAGAACGCCCTATTTTAGAATTCATTTCAAAAATACCCTATCTCAGTTGCCGATTCAAAAACATCCTATATCAGCACATTTTCAACACATTTTGAAGTGAGATAAGGCGTTTTTGAATCGTATTCTGAAATAGGCCGTTCTTCAACCGAATTCTGAGATAGAGTGTTTTTCAATAAAATTCTGAAATAGGGCGTTCTTGAAAATTTATATGAGACAAGGCGCTTTCGAACTGACTCCCCAGGTAGGTCGATCTTCCACTCAGCAGTCGAATATAATTTATTTATGTACATATATGTATATGCATAATAATAATAAGCATTCAACTAACACCGTACTTTTTGCAGAATAAAACTCGAAGAATGTATACGAAAACAGGAAATACAGCTAACGAGTGTAAAAGAAGAAAGAGATAATCTTAATCGACTCTGTGAAGAGTTGAAAATGGATATACGACTCAAGGAAGACAAAGTCGAAGGAATTAACGCAGAACTACAAGATGCGCTCAGGAAAGCAAAAGAAGGTAGGTTATGAAAAATACAACTAAATATCTTTACGAGAAATAAAAAATATGTAGTATATACTACATATGTATTTGTACATATCGATGGTCTTCTGAAATAACGACACAACTCAAAACTAAAAAAAACGCTACTAAGTGGCTCATATGTTTAATCCTTAAGTAAAATGGAAACATAAAGTAAACAGTAAGGATTAGCCGTGGATTACAGACACGAGGCCCTTAACTGTAGTAAGGATTTTGTTAATTTGAGTTGTGCTATTGCTATTTATGAAAAACGGTCTCATTATGTACATATCACACATCAAGATATCGACTAAATTATACTTCTTATCGACTATTTCAAACATTTATTGAGACGAGTCTGTCAAATTAGACTCCCAATTCTCAAGATCTCTTTCAGGGCAATAACTCCTTTATTATTAGAAAAAAAAAATCTATCGTCTGCTAAATATTTGATGTGCCCCAAATTATGGGTAATTGTCTCGGGGGTACAGCAAAGCAATCTTAAATGATAGTATAATAAACCTCCCCCCTCACTCCATCATTTTTTGCTCCACTACGTCACAATTTTTTACACGGGTTTGACGTTTGAATTTTAGTAGCTAGTAGCCCAATAAGCATTTAAGCTCTATGCAGATCACACACCTCCAATTTATTCATATTTAAGATTGCACTGCAAAACAGAAGAAAAAGGTTTTTTCTAATAGCGGTCGCGCCTCGGCAAGCAATGGCCAATTTCTGCTATGAAAAACAGTTTCTCAATCGCCCTTGTAACTCCCCCCTTCGTTTTGGCGCTCGCCACAAATCGGAGGAGAAACTCGGCCAAACACTAACATATTGTATATTCAAATTCACAGTCCTTAGACTGCTTGAATAACTTCAAATTTGTTTGCAGGTGAAGCTTATATTGATAGCTTGCGCAATGAACTCACGGACTGTCGCCGTCAATTGGCTGACAGTAATATTGAGAAGGATAAATATTCCAACAGTAACAAGGAGCTGCGTGATCACGTGAAGCATGTTGAGAGCGCAAAACGCGAGCAGGCGCGCGCCATTGAGGAAGCTTTGCAGAAAATAAATGCTTTGCAAGATTCCAAAAGCTCATTGGAAAACGAACGTACACGACTGACAACGATCTTGAAAGAGACCGAAAATAATATGAGTAAAACTGTACAGGAGCTGAATGCCACCAAGAATACATTACAGAAAACGCAAATGGACTTTGCGCAAAAGGATGAAGGTGGTAAGGACCTCCAGAACAAATTAGCTGCCGAAATCGAATTAAAGGAGCGTAGTCAACAGGAATTGTGCCAGATTAAGAAGCAGGTAAGTTAAGGGTAACTTTTACGAAATTTTTCACTTCGTTACACTAATGCAATTTTTAAATTTTTAATTAGCTTGCCGATTTAGAAGAAAATCTATGCGAAACCAGGGCAGAGCTTGGCCGTGCACGCTGTCAGTCCAATCAGGATGAACATCGTTTCCACAATCGCGAACAAGAGCTATTAGCGCGTATCGAAGAAGCTCGCGGTAGAGAGAAGCGGTTGGAAGATCAGAAGCATAACCTTGAGGTATGTCTTGCTGATGCCACCCAACAAATACAGGAGTTGAAAGCTCGATTGGGCGGCGCTGAAGGTCGAATACGCGCGCTCGACGAGCAACTGGCTTGTGTTGAGCTTCACAAGCGCGACACAGAGCACAAGCTCAGCTCGGTTGCGCACACATTGCGTCGTATTGCAGGCATTCAACCTGATGGCAGTGTTAATCTTTCCTATCGCTTGATAAGCCCAACAAGGCGTTATAGTCCCATTCGAAACGCAATGGCGGCTGGCAGTTGCCATGATTATGATGCCAGAAGCACTTCACAATGCCCGGATGTACCTTGTGATCTGGATCCGGATCTGGTGCGCAAAGGCGTACGAAATCTAATGCATCAAGTGGCACAAATCGAACGTGAAAAGGATGATATGAAGGTGCAATTATCGGCAGCGAAAAAACAATTACAGGATGCCGCAGAGCAGCAGCTGCGTTGCGATGGAAAAGTCAGCAAACTTCAGCAAATGTTGCGTCACCTTCAGGAAGAGAAGGGCAATTTGGATACAGAACGTAGTATGAAAATTTCCGCTTTGAATGCACTCGAAGAGAAGTTTAAGCAGAAGTGCGACGAATGCCAGCAAATGCGTGAAAAAATTAATCAGCTTGAAATGCAGTTAGCATCTTGCAATGAGGAGAACTCCCAGATCGAGGTAAGGTTAAAAGTTGTACTTATATGTATGTAGTACACTCTGTGGAATTTTAATGCAATTCGTGATTTTTTTAAATACAAATTTTAGTCGGTGGTTAACGATCTCACTTGACATTCGTTATTATTATTGGTGAAGATCCCATTTTATCCAATTAGATTAAATATTATTCGAATAAATTTTGCGCAGTTTGCATAAATAATCAACAAGAGTTCATAGAGTAGAAAGCGGTTGAGAAGTAGAACTGTGGATTCTTTGATTTCAATTTGGGTGTCCACACCTGCCTGGTTATCAGGTTATTTGATTAAAAATTAGGGCAATTCATCTAAACGCGTAAAGGCCTCGTAACCATGTAAACCTCGTTAACTTACATAATTTTGTATGGAAAATCGGTTTATTTACGAGGTTTACGCGGTTGCGAGGCAATTACGACTTTCCATGAATACCCATATTATTTTTCATCTTTTTTCTAGGATCGGCTAGAGAAGTGTCGTACACACGGATCGAAATTAGAGAACGAGAAACGTCATCTGCAGGAAGAACTAGCGAAAGCGGAAGGACGCGCTGCGAAATCGGACCTGCAGCGAGTTGCAATGGAGGGAGATATAAATCGCTTGCAAATGGCCTTACAGGAGAAAGACTGTAATGTGAGGCAGGCGCAAGAACGACTCGACAACCAGAATCGTGCAATGGTCCAATTGGAAGAGCGTTGTTCATCACTTAAGACTACGGTGGATCAAATGAAGGATCGGCTACAAAAGGCGGCGGTCACTGAAATGGAATTGCGTGGCGAATTGAAAGCACTGAATAAGGAGCTCTCTGAACAAGGACACTGTTCGCAATCAAATGAAGAAAAAGTAAAATTACTGCAAAAACAATCTCAAGCAGCAGAAAACGAAAAGCGTATACTTGCAGAGCGTCTGGATAATGCACAAAGTAATTTAAATGAATTGCGACGCAGTCAACAAGCACAATTGGACCGTATTCAGCGGCTTCAAGAGCAAGTTACCGATTTAGAAGTGCAACGTTCCGCTTTAGAGTCGCAATTACGCATTGCCAAGTGGAATCAGGAGGCAGGTGATAGTGGCGGTATGGGCAAAAGTGCCGATAAGCGCGAGGAAGAAGAGCTCAGTCGACAACTCAAATCGTCTCAACGAGAAAAATCCGAGTTACGCAATAAATTACAAGCTTTGCAGGACAAAGTCAAGCAATTGGAGTCGGAGCGTAAAAGCAAGTTCTCCGGAAGTGGTGGGACCACAGCTTACGATCGTGCGGAGAAGAATACTTCGTATTATGATGCCGGTGACTTCGACTCGAACCGCATGGAAACCACAGCGGGCAATTATAGCTGTGGTCTTGATCATGCAGTCATTGAGCAAGAGGCGAGGGACTTGCGCTTAAAAGTCCGTCGTTTAGAAACACTTTTAGCGGAGAAAGAGTCCGAACTAGCAAGACTTAAGGCACGTTTACACGATAGTGCCAAGTGTGCAGATGGTGGAATAGATGCGGAGCGTTACCGTAATGCTCAAATGCACGCTGAAAAGTTATTGGATGCTCGCGAGCAATCACATCGGCAGCAGGTCATGCGTTTAGAAAATCAAGTGAGCTAATAATTTTTTTTTTTTTTTGAGTTTTTGTTATAAATACATTACATATATATGTACATATTTTCATACGTGTGTACCATTGCCACTGTTTGCGAGCCACGAGCAAAATGGCATACTAATTCCTTTCACGGGGGATGAAATGGCAAGTAAATTTTTCCTAAAAACTAAGGAATGGGGTTTATATCGTCGTTTAAAGTACAAAACCGCGCATCGTCGTTCTGCAAAACCGCGTAACCGACATTTTTTGCCAAAAATTGGATTTGCTCACACAAGCTCTTGGTTCAATCCTTATCCATTCGTCCTCAAATATACTAGCTTGAAATGCGATTGCTTTATAAAAAATACAAACATTTTGAAATATGAGTGTTTTTACTCTCTAGAAAATAATTTATGCAACTTCAGATACGCGGTTTTGCATTATCTTGATACGCGGTTTTGTACTTTAAACGACGATATGTATCTCCTATTAAGCGTTTTTGCGCACTCACCTTAGTCCATACAAGTTTTCTGTAGAACATTTTAACCCTCTAACCGCCTCTTTTAATATACTTTTATGAAACTTATTTTAAAGAGGGTCAAAAAAAAGGTGACCAACCGTCCTCCTTTAGGAAAGAAAGTCCTCCTTTTTTAACCCATGTCCTCCTAAATGTCCTGCTTTTTGACATTCGTCATTCAAATTTAAAGTTATATTAATTATCGTGTGTACATACTATGTACTAGATAAAATAAGAAGTACATTCGACATGAAATGCATGTTTTTTCCGTTAAAAATTCTTTCAAGAACAATATTAACAAAACTTTTTCAAAAGTAATTTTAGTAACGTAACGTCATGTAACATCACGCCAGAAACTTCAGCTGATTAAACAAAAAGCAGAAAATATTTTTACAACTTGGAAAATTAACCTAAACATTCCAAATCTTACTAAAACTTTTATACAAATAGCCTTGCCCAATTCGCAGTTTTGCAATTTGGTAACCGAAGTCAAAATCCACTTCGGTTGTAACGTCACGCCAGGGCATATGTTTATTAATATCTTTAAATCGCTGCTACCTGCAGCTGTAATTTTTTTAACTGAATAAGGGGCAATTTAATGCTATGCGAATCTAGAATAACCTTTTTAAAATTTTTACTCTTTCAGTTTTTTTTGTAACATTTTGTAACGCAAGTTTCACGTAGCGCCAAATTGGAAATACTCATATGTATATCTTTTTTTTTTGTTTTTCGTAGATATCTTTGCTACGTGAACAATTAGCACAAGAAGCTAAACGTCGTCAGCAATACATTTTGCGTAGTTCAAAAGCCAATCGCGAAATGCAACACCTACGAAATACTCTTGGCGATTCATTACGACATGTTTCGCAACATCCATTAGATCCTAATTTATTGGAAAGCGAATCGAGACGGTGAGCATAAATTGTTTAATGCGATTATAAATATTCTTATTTTATTATATAATTTTGTACGTTCAAACAGCTTGGATAATGCCGTTTCGATGAGTCTACCACCGTCAACCTGTCGGGATTACGATCAATAAATCCATTTGTATGGGACAACTTGATTGTTACTAGCTAATATGTGGTCCAGGCAAAGGGAAAGGACTTGGAAATAAAAAACTGCCACTTAAAGCTTCCTTATTAAAAACTAAATGCATTTATTAGAATATATATATACAGGTATAGAAAACACAATTAATACAAACATGCCTATACTCACTAACCCCTCTCATACAATAAGTATGTATAAGTTGATTTTGAAACACCACAAAAATGCATCAACTATTGAAATTTTTTAATGATCCTACAAAATTTACCTATCCCTAACTTCATTGATGTTTTATATACATATGTACATACACTGCAGGAACAAAGTATTGGCACAACCAATTTTTCACAATATATGCAAAACCAATTTTTCCGCCAATTTTGTATAAACATATGGTTCATTCAACAACAAAAAGCTTAAAAATGTAATTCCTAAACTTTATGCAAAACTCGCGAAAATTCAGCAAATTTTCATGAAAATTTTAAACTTTTAAATCAAATTTTTTAGAGTTTGGAGTATGCAGATTTCTAGCCCTATCATTTTATCATCATTTCATATTAGTATGAAAATTGTTGCATATATTGTGAAAAATTTGCTGTGCCAATACTTTGTTCCGGCAGTGTACATACATACATACGTACTTACATACAAAAATATACATGTATTTGTATGGTGTAGACCAATTATGACTATTCTGTAGCTTTTCATTGTCTGCGAGATAGACAATAGAATATAGTGTATATATACTTCCTGCATTCCCGCAAGTTAATTTCAATTTAAAAAAAAACCAAAACATTATTGAACCAAACATTTCCCAACAAGTGCTATTAAATTTTATTTACGTTTATCTTATAAGGCTGTTGCATTTCTCCTCTCTTTAGGAGAACATTGCCGTACAGTTTTGAAAGGAACCATGCAAATTCATATCACCAACTTTCACAGTCACTAATGTATCAATAACAATGCCTCAATAACATCTATATACCTACAAACGTATGCATGTAGGATAAAACACAAACACAATCTAGAATTCAAACATCTATTAAAACAAATATAAGAGCAATTTTCATAAAATGCAATATTCATAAAAGGAATATTTTAGAAAATATATACAATTTTGGTCAAATAAAGAAAACAATTGGTTTGTATTTTTCCTTTGTTTAATTTTTATTGCGAATTTAATATTTTCTCCAGGTAAGCGACTACAACTTTCATGTTAGCCCTCTGTTTGGACAACTTGGACACTTCGCCTACAATAGCAAACAGTGCTTTCTTTTTGCCGCTTTTGTATTGTTTTACTGCCTGTTCGTTACGCTCAATCGCCTGTAGACAAAGTTTTTCGATAGTCTTTTCATCAGTTATTTGTTCTAGTTGTCGGTCGTTTATAAGCTAAAAAATAATACATAAATTGATTAATATAATTTTCTGTGCATACATATGTACAAATCAGCGTTAAAACGTTCGGCGAAAAATTGGTCCGCTTTCTAATGAAATAAATCAAAAATTGTCTTACTAAACAAAAAATAAAACTTGTACCTTTTGCTCAATAAATAACACTGAGAAAGTTTAAAAACTATTTTGAGTAATACAAATTTTTTGGAGTCAACGGCAGTCCGAGTAACCATGATTATGTTGGTGTAGTGTAGCAACGCTGATAAAAATGTATGTACATATGCAAACGCCGAGTATAAATAGATTTTACCGATTGGACATTTTGTGCAGGATCCTGATGTAAAAATTCGATAAGCTGTCGACCCGCTTGCAGATTTATAGTACCAGTATTGAGCGCTACAAGGATGTCCTCAAGGTGAGTGTAAGTGAGTTGGCTGGAAGAGCAATACAATACAGCTGCATATTATAGGATAGTAACATAACCTTTTAAGCAATAACATGAACGTAAAAATTATCTATGTACAAATATATTAGTTTAACAATTAATTCCGGTTTCCGTGAAGCGCACGCCTTAGCACATTTATTTTAGACTTTAAGTAACCACTAATTATTTGCAACTTTTTATAATCATTATGGGACTTGTTTTTAAATTTAATATACAACTTTTACTACTACTGCTAACCACCTCCAAGAGAAAAAAATCGTCGATTGGTACATCATGGCCCATAGGCATAGTCGTAAGTTAAAACTCATTCTTGTTAAAATAAAGTTTTAAATTTAGAATAGATTTTTAATTTGTGTCAATCATAGACATTTTAGAAACAGCTTTTTGTTAAGATGAGAGAGAACAGAGCTATCCATGAAGAGAAAAAATTTACTCGGCAATATAAAGATATATGTGTACTTTAATTAGTTCACCCTGTGTCCGCTGCGGGATTGAAATTTTAGCTTCCCGGCGAGTCGTGGATTCGAATCCCACTATCAGGAAACATTTATTTTTTTGTTATTTTAAATATTGGGGCGTATTCTTGTTTTCGTACGAATCGAAAATCGTAAAATTTTCCAATCATTTTCTATACAAAAATTTCAAATGTAATTATAGTTGTTATGACCTGTTTAGTTAAAATTAAACTGCAAAAAATTTGTTTATCTTGACATTATAATGTGAAATACCACAAAGAATAATAAAATAATGTTTATATTAAAAAAATCATTAAACTAAAAAAATATTGTTTGGAATCGCTCAGAGTAGGGACCGAACCTTTCTTTAGCATTTTCAAATCACGTCTTATTTTAAAGTTAAAAATTTTGCTTTTGCATTTTCAGTTGACCATGAAAGAGTTAAGATGGTGATTACAATTGTCCAAACCGTAGCTATCACAGGTGTGACATGCTTCACTGTTGAATCATTCTTATCCAACTATGCAATGCAATGGTGGTAAACATTTGCAATGAATTTCTAACATTATTACATAAAGACGAAACACATCAACTTCTGTAATACATATAGTATGTATAAAAACTTTTTTGACACGGATAGATAAAGCACTCACACAATTTAATACGTAACACAATGTTATTAAAAGCAAATTAGTTCTATTATATATATTTCTTACCAAGCGCTTGAATTATGAATCATGAATTATTTCACAGTACTTTTAACACCATCTATTTGAAACTCACTCAAAAAATTTACTTAGAACTTGATTTCCAAACGTAAAAAAGGGATTAAAGTTGCATTTAAAGCTTTAATTTGTTATATTTTGGTTGATTCAAGATGTTTACCTATATGTCTATCATTTTCCTCTGCATATTCACCTTTACCTTTATCCTTGCATTCCTTTTAATTTAAATCTTATTTTTAAACCGCTGCTTAGCAAGTTTCTTTAATTGTTCCCACGACGGTCGGGTCTACGAAACCGGAACGACCCACAATTATATCTGACTCGCTCCAGCATCGCTCCCAAAAAATTCTTTTGGGGATTTGTATGCTCTTACAACAACAATAACGCTTCTTTAATTCACTATCAATATTAAAGCATACATTTAGGAGGCATTTCCGCTACATTTGCCGCTAAAGAAATTCTACTACAAAAAAAAAATTAAGCACACACTGTCTTTTTGCCGTTAGTTCTTGTCTTTGCGGAAGAAGGAGAAGGAAAGCTAAGTGGCAAACTAATTGAGTATGCAGTCAATTCCTTAAATAGGCATTTCACATGTGCACACAAATTTTTCATTTTGCGACAATAACAATGGATTTTTCGAAGTTAAGGTCTAAACTATAAATTTAATTAAAGGAAAACTTCGTGCATGTAGTCCCTACGCGCGGAAGGAGAGAAACTTAATAGCGTAAATGCCAGAAAGAAAGATATGTGCGATCCACTACATACACATCTTCATCTTCGTCTTCATCTTCATCTTCATCTTCATCTTCATCTTCATCTTCATCTTCATCTTCATCTTCAACTTTATCTTTATCTGTATCTTTATCTTCATCTTCATCTTCACCTCTTTCATCTTCACCTCTTCATCTTCACTCTTCATTTCATCTTCATCTTCATTTACATCTTCCCCTTCATCTTCATCTTTATCTTTATCTTTATTTTTATCTTTATCTTTATCTTTATCTTTATCTTTATCATTATCTTTATCTTTATCTTTATCTTCATCTTCATCTTCATCTTCATCTTCATC